TATATATATATATATATATATATATAATCCAGTTTTTGCATTAGACTGCAATTATCTCTATTGTATAATTGCTCTACTTGTACAATCCATTCTCATCTTTCACACTCACAAGTAACTAACCATTAACTAAATTAAAATAACAATATTTCAAGATTTTTTTTTAAATAACATTAGTTTAAAGAATATTTTTTTAAAAAAATCAAATCATGGGTTGGGTTGATCCGTTGGCTAATCAAGTCAACTCCAATTTAATTTTTTAAAAAATTTAACTTATATAAAAATAAAAAATAAAAGCAAGTCAATAAGGTACAGAGCACCCTTAATTAGAACATGACTTCACCAACTAAATCATAATTTCACGAGCTAAAACGTCCAAGTTATTCTTAGAAAGCAATACTCCAAAGGACGTGTCTTCTTTAAACAATCGAAATTGCAATTATGTACAATTTGATGTTAAGAATTCTCTTAATAAAAGAAGTGTAATTTGAGAAGAAAATAAGAGAAGTAGAGATAATTGCAGTCTAATGCAAAAACTGGATTTTATATATATATATATAGTCTAATATATAAAATCCAAAAACTTCTTATATATATATAAGAAGTAGAGATAATTCCAGTTTTTGCATTAGACTGCAATTATCTCTACTGTATAATTGCTCACTTGTACAATCCATTCTCCTCTTTCACACTCACAAGTAACTAACCATTAACTAACTTCTAATTGTATTCTAACTGCTAACTAACTCGTTGCCACGTTTGATTCCCTTCTAATTGCTAAGTGTTGCTTCCTGTTACTGGTATTGCTGATTGTTGCCTTCTCTTGTTTGGAGTACACGAGGTTGCGAACTTCTTTCAGTCTTTGCTCCACACAATTAATTGAAGTCTCATGAATCTAGGCAAAGATCGCGAGATTGATTAATGTGCTCTTCCATGCTTATATCCTTACCTTCTTCAGTTGTAATTTTATCATGTGCATACTTCTTCCCACGTCTAAAATCTTCTTTTTGCTCATGTAAATTTTCAGGGGTTTGCCTTGAACTATGAATCATTTTCATTTTAAAACGGCTAGTAGTATTTGAAGGTGGTTTGCCTGGTTATTAATCTATGAGATAGCAGTTCATGACTTGAATTTGTTTTTCTTTTTTTAGCCATGATGTTATTGAATTTCTTTTATTACTTAGTTTGATCAAAAACTTTATAGACTCTGAATATCCCATATTGAATTCTCTCTATGAAAAATTAGCAACTTCACCTTAGAGAAGTCGGTAAATTTATTGCATTTGTTACTCAAATTAAAAATCATCAGCAAATTGGAATGACCGAAGAATCAAGAGTAATTTTAATATTCATTTTCATGTTAAATTGTTTAACATATATTTTAATATTATTTAATATTTCTAATTTTTTACTTACCAGATTAATGATGCTTGACACTTCTTGCGTTGGCAAACGATTTCAACTTGAACATTGTTGAGTTATCTTAATAAAAGAACCCAAATGACAATTTGAGCACCTGGTTATTAATCTATGAGATAGCAGTTCTTGAATTTAATATGTTTTTTTTTTTGCCATGATGTTATTGAATTTCTCTTATTATTTAGTTTGATCAAAAACTTTATAGACTTGAGAATCTTAAGCATTGGTTTTATATCTCATGTCAATGCAAGTTTGACTTCTTCAACTCTATTTACCCCTGATTCTGTTAGTTTAGGAGAAGACAGTGAATCGTTGATTTATCAAGATAGATCAATTGATCAGAAAGTTGTAAAGGAACAACTTAAAATTGAGAATCAGAAGAAATAAGACAGATATCCCATATTGAATTCTCTCTATGAAAAGTTGGCAACTTCACCTTAGAGCATCTCCAACTAGAGAGGCAAACAAAGAGACAAATTTAAAAATATGTCCTTTTAACTTTTGATTTTTTATTTTACCATTCCAACGCAGCAGGCAAAAAAGAAGTCAAGAGCTATTTCTATAGGTTTCTATAGAATAGCTAAAATGAAATGAACGTTGCCAACGACTATTTTTATAGATGTTGGTCAATTATGTTTTTTTTCTTTAAAAGCAAGGAAAGAAACTTATTTTTTTTTTTAATCTTGTATTGTGCCCCACTCTTCTCTCAAATTTAGAACAACAAGA